TTAACATATGTGTTAAATTTGTAGATCACTATGGCAAATTATTCCTGAATTCCAGAAGTGAACCCTACTTGGCTTTGGGTTACTGTTTTTCTTTTACTATACTGCCGAACTTAACTTGCTAATGCTTAGGATTTTCACACTTCATAAATGGGACTGCTCCACGGTCGGTCGTCTGTCTGGACTCAGGCATGGTCAGTTTTGGCAGCCAGCACTGTGCTGAGCATTCTGACACAAGCCTGGGAGTGTGCCCCAGATTTTTGGCCCTGGACGGCTGAGTAACCCCAAAAGTGCTATTCCTTGGACAGCTACTGGAACTGCCCCTCACAAATGCTGGCCCTTGGGATTTTGATCTATACTTTGCTGTTTTTTTTGGTACCAGGGATTGAACTCCCATCTTTGCACTTGCCAAGCAGGCGCTGGAACCACTGAGCTAAATCCCCGGCCTTATGATTGCTTTCTTAAGTGATACAATCAGTACAAATTATAGCTGCCTTGAAACAAAGTGATAATTCCTCTGAATTGTTCTCAATCCCAACTTGTATGTGGCTCGTGCAATCCTCCTTTTTCTCTTTTAGGCACATTCCAGAAGTGCGACAAGTTTATGGTCACTTTTTAAAAACAAGCAATTTTTATTGATCAAATGAACTCACTTTTGGCTTTTTTATAATTTCACCAGCTTCAGCTTACTGTCTTTAATTTCTTCTACTTCTTTTGGCTTACTCGCTCCTTAAAGCCTCTTGACCAGGATGTCTGTCCTGGGTGTCGTCTGTGATATTCCACGTGACACCCTTCGGCCTGGAGCTCATCTGAGCCTGGCTGAGTCGGCGAGGCACCAGAACAATCAGAGTCTGCGAGGGCTGCCCTTCCCCCTCTCTCAGTGACTCCCTGCCCTGTCTGCTCCTTGTTTGTTTTAAAGTCTTCCAGACCCTTGCAAACAAACAAACAAACAAACAAACAAAAGCAAGGAACCAGGTGGAGCAGAGGAGCCAGGCAACATTTGGGACCAGGGTGATGGCGCGAGGTAGAGCAGGATCGTGCCATTGGGCCTGAGGTGAGAAAGTACAAAGGATCCTCCGTGCTTATATAAAATTGACCACACGACTACCACCTCTGGGATCCCAGCAGAAGTCCTAACATCTCATCCAGCAGCTCCACCACCAGGAAGCCTCCCTAAACCTAACCCCAAGAAGCGTATCTTAAAGTCTTCTCATTCTCAGGTTGGGCCGCCTTTCCAGAGAGTCCAACCACTAAGTCAGCAGTCTCCAAGGGCATCTGCACCACCTCTGGAAAACATCGGACCCTCGCATCACAGTCCAGGCGTCACCTGACAGCTCATCTCATCATCCCACTGCACAAAAGTGGCTGCACCAGCCGAAAGCCGGGCGACTGCCAAGCTCTCTCTATTACCAAGTGGACAGATCATCACTGCCGATACAACACAGCATGCAGGGTCTCTTCACAGTGTCACTGCCAGGCGAGGCTACACCAAGAAATTCACCTTGGCTGGGTGAATTCTTCCTGGGCAGCCAGGATTCCAAGGAGACACTGTGTGACTTGTGCCACTGGCTGCACAGTTCTGGCAGCCATTCTTTGCTGCAGAAAAGGCCCACAGATTTGGAACCCCAAAAGACTCAAGGGTACAAAGGCACAAGGACAACATCAAAGGATACATCTCACCAAACAGGGGGTCCTGAAACCGTAAAAAGCTCATAAACCGAAGCAATGAAGGAACATCTCAGGATAACTATCGTGTCCAACTATGAAGTTACGATAAGAAACTGCGCCCAGCAGGAATTATATAAACTATCACATTAAGCTTGTGAAATGTGGTTAGCTTTAGTAATTAGTACTGCTTTAGTTATATTACCTTAACTAACATACTGGCCTTGTTAATGCTGCAAAAGTTAATCTGTGTAAAGCTGATGTTTATCTGAAACATCTGATGTTTACTCACTGAGCACAACTTCAAGGCTGCCAAAAATGATAGGAGAGGAAGTAGTCAGCTATTTAGACTCCCAAAAGCCAAGCCCAAGGCCCAAGAGCAGATCATCGCTGTATACAGAGGCCAACATGAGCTGCAGTGCAGCCCTAGCAGCTGGTGACTTAAATAAAAACAAAAACTGAACAGATTATGTATGTAAGGGCGATTTTGAGCTCTCTTTGGCCCACAAATCATACTATTATAACAATGGCCATAATATTAATCAGTTGCTAGTGAAATTCTGATCAAACAAAGGTTGAGACATGTGGAGGGGTACGGTATGGGAAAATAATGCCCTTCCTCATTTAGTATTGGAGTATCACAAATAACTTAGACATGCTTTAAAAACCCAGGTATGAATAAAACTGGCTGTCTCTGGGGAAACAGAAACAGTGACTAAAAAGAAAGCTGCACGGAGAATTCATTTTTTTCACTCCTGGATATTGTACCATATGAATATATTACCTGCATTTTAAAAGGCAATTTTTTTTTTTTGGTACCAGGGTCAAACTCAGGACCTTGCACTTGCAAGGCAGGTAGCAGCACCACTAAGCTAAATCCCAGGCCCTAAAAATGCAAATTCTTATGAATAGCTTGTGAGAACTGATTGGTCAGACAAGGAATAACTTCACCAAATTTCAACAAAACGTCCACAAAATCTTGTATCCAAATGGGTGGATGATATTGCAAAAATTGACATTATTTAGTAAGAGCCCATCATGACATCTTTCCCTCGAACTTTTGAAATTTTGTAAGTTTCCAGGTACAACAATTAAAGTTAGTATTGAAATAAATTGAGCCTAAAACAGATTTTTGAGTCACAATATCTCCAAAAGACATATAATTTTTTAAATGAGGCAATCCAATTATGTTGCTTCATTAAATTGTAGTGATATTTCTGCATAATAATATATTAATAATACGCAACATGAAAATTTTTCTTCAAAGAACTAGCTGCTCTGGGTGCTCAGAGAACATCCTGGACTGGGACCATCTGGCAAAGGCTTCCTCAGAGGTGTGACTGGGCGGGACTGGAAGGCTGACAGGACTTGAATAAGAGATAAGGCAAGTATTTCAAAGCAACAAAACATGGAAGACCTGGACAGGCTTGGTTGCATCATTAAAGCAGCCTGCAGAGGGGGGTCCAGTGACGTCTATAACAGCATCACTGAAATGACCGTGGAAAGCACCTTATTCTAGACCCATGGAAGCAAAATTTCTGAGGTGTGGAGCCAGAATACTCATTTTTATCGAGCTCCTGATCATGTTCATGCCTAAAAAGTTTTGAGAGTTTCTAACTCCATGTAAATATTCTCTGTGATCCTTGGATCTATACCACTAAGACACTATAAAATGATTTTAAAAAGAAAGTAGAGGTCAGATCCAGAAAGGGAAATGTAGAAACGGTTACACTGCAATATTCAACCAGAGATCAGCCCTACTATGAAATCTTAATTCCATTAAAAACGTTTGTACTTTAAGTAAATACAGAATACTCAGCTGCTGCTTAAAAAAAAAAAAAAAGAATTGGAAAGTCCCCTTTGGGTTCTCTTTTTGAGTGTTGGAGAGTATCATTTCTCTGAATTCTAGAAAAAGACTGGAAAGGCCACACTGATGGCAGGTACATTCCTCTCTGTATGCGGTGAGGTCCACTGTGCTTTGAAAATTGTTTCTGGTGATGCGAAGGCTACTTGTGTCCCTGACCTTTGCCCATGCCTTTCCTTTATCCTTGTGTTCCTTCCACTGCTGCAACTTTAAGGTACGAAGCTGCACACAGTAACTACCAGTCTTCCAGTTTTTAGACTCACGTTGCCAGGGGCTGTTTCCAAAACCATTTGTGGAGCTCATAACAATCACATTAATATTTAATACATCCCTACTATAGCTTTATTCCAAAGTGTCCCAGTCGTGATGTCATGTTGACAGACTGAAATTTCAACCACAAAAAAGAAGAGCAAGAAACAAAGGATGCGTGGCCTTCCCCAAGCAGATCAGAGGTGCGGGCTGGCCGTTCAGGGCCTAGGAGCTCGCAGGCTCCTCGGGGCAGCTGGCCAAGCCCCGGATTGGAGCACAGCCTGTGAAAGGGGTCTCGAGCCCCCTTTGGGTGCCCCGTGCCCAATTGTGCCACTCACGCACCGAGAGGTCCGGCAGGAGATCTTTATTGTAGGGAGGCAAGTGGGAGGCAGGAAGGCAGAGAGCGAGAGAGCGAGGAAGTACTGGGATATTTATAGGGCAGGCAACGGAAGATCCTTCCTTGGGAGAAGCGGTCTTTGTTATCCTATCGCAAGCCAAGTTATCTTTTGAATTTCGCGCTTTACAATTTTGGCAGGATAAAGGACTCAGAGTCAGGAAAGAACCCGGAAGTAAGATATAAAATGGCTGGGGGTGGTTATATTCTAACATGTGCGATCTCCTAACAGCCTGGATCTGCGGCCAGGGCCTGCCCACGTTCCTCCTGCCTACAAGCCCACAGCATTCCTTCCTTTGCCCTTGGAATCTGGAGATCTCACCAGCTGTGGGAAGGTGTGTTTAAATTCCAGCAGGGGCCTATCCTAAGGCCGTCTTTCCTGATTTCCTGCCCTGTCCCACCCCTCGGAGGGCTGTCTGACCCCCAGGGACTTTCGGAACCTTTTACCTATCTCCTTCCCAAAACATCCCACACACCAAGGGCGTTGGTTCAGCAGGGACGCTGCCTACAAGGTGGTGCAGGCTCTCCGCCTTAGCACCCAAACCACCTCTTCCCGCGAGGCCGCAGGGCTCACCCAGCCTTGGTGAATTCCCTGGCCTCCCGCACTGGCCCAGACAGAGCCTTCGCACCTGCCCGGTGCAGCCCCTCCCTGGGGTTGTGTGTCTATGCCAGACTGTTATTGTGTGGTTTTCGGCCCTTGCCGCTTCGTCCAACCAAGTGCTTTACAGCAACGGAACCCGCCCGGGGACGCGCACACGTTTGGCTCCGCTCAGTCCTGCGCTGGCACAAGGAGCCTCACGCGGGGTTGCACCGGGGAAAGCCACGCCTTACGTTTTTTCCGCTCCTCGTTGGCGGCTGCCCAGGTCTTGGTGTAGAGCGCCCGCACCTCCTGCAGCTCTTCCTCCTTGCGCCTCCTCTCGCCCGCAGCGAAGGAGTGGCGGTCCTGGCTCTTCCCCAGCTGCATCTGCAGGCGCGCTAGGTGCTGCTGCACCCCGTAGAGATTCAGGCCCAGTTCCTGATGACCGGCTCGGCTTTGCTTGTTGGCCACCTCCTGCCCCAGAGAGAGAGAGAGAGAGACAGAGAGAGAGAGAGAGAGAGAGAGAGAGAGAGTGTGTGTGTCAAGGGACTGTGCACAGCTTGGCCCGGAGACGGCGGGACCCATACGCACCAGCTCTTGGAGTTCCAGCGTCAGTTTGTCTATCTGGCGGATCAGGTAGCTTTTCAGGGCGGCCTGGAACCTGACCATCAGGGGCTAAAACAACAGAAAACAATAGGTTACTGACCTCCCACCCAGGGCGGAGCCTGTGTGTCAGAAGGGGGTCCCCTGCTTCTGCCCTGGAGGCCTCCTCTCCAAGGTGCAAATTCAAGGCACCTCCTGGTCCCATCGGCCTGTGGTCCCGGCACTGTGAGACTTAAGTGCAGTGAACGGGCTGGTCATCAGAGTTCTACCAGGAGCCAGAGGGTGGTGGTGAGCAGCAGCCAAGATGCCAGCGTCAAATGGGCACCCAAGCATTTGCTAGGGCTCCTTCCCTCAGCACCAGGAGGAGCACCACAGCTTTCAAATGGACTGCTCCAACTGAGACCTGCATTTTTCCAGAGCTGGGAGGAGCTGCAAGATGGCTGGTACTGTCAAGGCCCCCACCCACCCTCCACATTGGACAAGATCTGGAGACATTTGTGCTGCTGGCATGTTGTGGGTGGAGGCCACGGGTGCTGCCCAGCATCCTGCAAAGCCCAGGAGGGCCCCACCAGAGAAGCATCGGGCCCCAAATGTCAGCAGAGCGGAGGCTGGGAAAGGCATACTGTAGGTATTTAAATGGAAAAGAACATACTTGACAGGGACACGGCCTTGGGGGTCAGAGGCAGAAAAGGGCCTGTGCAGGGAAAGCAAAACCTGGAACGCTACGCTGTCTTACGTGGTCTGGGTCCAAAACCACCAGCTGGGACCCCTCATCTTCCGCCTCGTCACTGCCCTCGGACTCTATTCTCTCCACCGAAGTCCCTTCTTCAGGGCTTAACTCTGGGGCCTGGTCCAGCAACGCTCCCTCCTGAGAGTGGGCGTCAGCGTCCTCTGGGGAGATCGCAGGAGACAGAGCACAGGTCAGCGAGGAGTTAACAGAGTGCCGGACCACTGTATCCTTGGAGCTGGCAGCGAAAGTGTTCCCACTCCCAAGCAGAGGGGCTGCTCGGCCTGGAGACAAATGCCTGTCGTCCTAGCACCCTGGGAGGCTGAGGCAGGATCACTGCAAGTTTGAGTCGGGCCTGCAAAACTAAGCAACTTAGCAAGGCTGTGTCTCAAAATAATAAAGGGCTAGGTATATAGGTCAGTGCAAAGGCCTTGGTTCAACCCCCAGTACTACAGGAGAAAGGGAAGAGGGCTCAGAAGGTTTTTGTGGTCTTCGGTAGGGCCTTCCAATGTGTTGCAGAGAAAGAATCACATTTGAAAGGTAGGCAGAAGCATTTTACCCTGTAGATATTTCTTCATATGCGAGGAGGGAAGAGAAAGCAGGCTCGTTACTGAAGGACTAGATCTGAGGTTTTATAAAATTTAGAACAAGCAGACAGAATTAAAACAAATGAAATTACGAACGAGTTTCTGGTTTCCCGCAGATTGGAGATATCCCTGTGCAGTTTTTTACTAGTCAGACACACACTATTTTCATGTTACTACTTTATTTTATTGCCAGTATTATTATTTTGTGCTACTAGGGACTGACCTCTACCACCCAGCTATAGTCCCAGCCCTCGGGGTCATTCATGAATAACAAAGACTTTGTGCCCTGGACCATCAGTTCATTTGCACCCTGGGGTACAAGCAATCTCCCGATCTGCTCTTCTGTCCCAGGGGAACTACAGGGGTGTGTGGGGCAGGCCTGGCACTCAGCAGCTGGGGCACAGGTGGCAGATGCTGCCATGGTGCTTTACTTCCTGACCCCAGGAGAGGTGGCAGTCAGGGCTGGGGGTCAGAGCATCCTAGGTTCTCCATTAAGACCCTGTTCTGTCGCTTGCTTGGGTAAGTTATGAGTAGCGCTCTGGTCCTCATCAGTACGACGGAGAATGGCTTCTACTTCACTGGGTTACTGTGAGGATGAAATGAGGTCAAAGAGAGTAAGTGCCCCATAAATCTTATCCATATCTGAGGCTGATATTTCATCTTTAGCCTCACAGTCTCTGACAGGTAAGCTTGACTGTCAATTTAACTGGCTTGGGAGCTGTGCAGGGGACTGGCAGACACTGTCCTGGGTGTGTCTGGGTGAGCTATGGAGGCATGACTTTGGGTTTATGTCTTCACCCTTCCTCTCTG